TCTTAATTACTGTCTGTGTGGAATGTTTTCTGCTGGCTTTTTTCAATGGAAAACACATTAATGAGAAACTTTAAAGGCTTGTTAACAGCATCCCTTCATCAATCAGAGCCCTGTCAGGTTAGGCTCTCCCGTCAATTTTCACCTCGAGGGCCGGCATCTACTTCCTACCTTCTTATCCCACGCCACGGTCCTTGTCTGAGCAGCCCTGGGTGATACAGGCCAGGCCTTGTCCATCTGTCGGCAGCTGGAGCCATAGGGTCCCGAGGACACTTGCTGGGTGTTGCCTTGCGTCCTCAGACCCTTCAGAACGGGTTGTTTCTTCAGATGCTGGCGCTGGCGTTTAACTGCCATCTCCTTCTCAGACAGACAGACAGACAGACAGACAGACAGACAGACAGGGGTGGCTGCGTCTCATTTTAACCTTAAAGCGCATTAAAATGATCGTCACTGAAATGGATGTGGACTTCGGCTCCTTAGATGTAAACTTTTAATCAAATGCTTATGAACTAGGCAAAGGATCAAAGCCAAACTAAACATGTGCTGACCTGAGGGGCACTGAGGCTCTCCTCACTTCCCCACGGAAGGGCAGTCTTATACGCAAACATGAGACCCCCCCAGACCTGGCCCAGGGAAGGCTTCATAGGTTGACGAGCTTCTGGGAAAATGCTCAGTAAAATGAAGCCAACAGCATCCTCCTCCCCCCGACCCACACCCCTCGGTTCCTCTGACCCACCATTTATGTCACTGCGAAGTCCTATGTGTGGTCATTGGCAAACTCTATGGGGAAGGATTGGAGGCCCTGGGTAATGGCTGGCTGCTGACCACAGGCTGGCAGTTCAAATCCACCTAGAGGTGCCGCTGAAAAAAGGCCTGGCCACCTACTTCCGAAGATCAGTCACTGAGAGCTCTCCAATACACCTAGGAGTCAGCATCGGCTGGATGGCAACTGAGGTTCCGGCCAGCAGTAGTGTCCACTGTAGCAGCTGCCTCCAGGCAGCACCCACGTGGGCACAAAGGCTGAGGGGACAGGAAGGAAGCCATGGGAAAAGCATTGTTGATTTTTTCTCGCGTAAACCGGGGGTGAGAGTTGGATGTGTGAATGCGATTCTTCAAGTTTATATTCCTACAAGCCTCTTCTTCAGCAGAACTCCAAGAGGGTATATGGGCTTCTGTTGGGTGGTGCCGCCTTACGCCTTTAAGCCAGCTCCGTCACCGGGTTTTTATCCTGCAAGGATAAACACGGGGCCCACTAACCACAAGGTTGGCAGTTCAAACCCACCAGCTACTCCCTGGAAGACTTACAACAGGGTCATTATAAATAGGTTCGGAGCTAGTATTGTCCACAATTTAAGATACACACACACACAATGGCATTTTAATATAAAAATACCCATACTGTGATGATTTGTAATTCTTAAATGAGGGGAGCCTGGAGCAGCTAGCACTGCGTAAGGGGTGGAAACTGTGGAAGAAAGATGTGTGTTTGAAAAACTTGACACTAGATAGGGCAATTTCCACCTCTAGCAGTTTATGAAGTTCTAGGGTAAGTGATTTCTGCTGCATTGGTGTTGTTACTTTTAGGGCCGTCTAGTCGGTTCTGATGGCATTCTGGATAGGGTTTCCAAGGAATGGCTGCTGGGTTTGAACCACCAACCTTGCAGTTAGTGTCCTGTGCTTATCCTCCAACACCCCAGAGGAGTTGTAAATCGAGCTTAGTTAACCCTACAGAGAAGCTTGTTTGTCCTCAGAAAGACATCTACTTGTGACCTTCAGATCTGGAGCTGTGGACAAGTCCCCCCGGACTCATCTTTCAGACCCCTCAATTTGGAGCTGAGATGCACCCGCACACGACTGGCCGGGGATATTTTTCCTTCTTTGCACATAAAGAATTCAGACTTGTGTTCGGTCACCTTCTCCCTTGACGCGGCCGCAGGAAATGGCGAGAGCGGGTGGGTTTACTTTGGGCTTTTGTTCCTAATGGGAAGAGGGGCCTGGGGGAAGAGAAGAGCGACCCCGGGCAGAACGAGGCCTCTGCATGTTCAAGGACATCTATCCATTATAAGTGTGGTCCAGCAAAACCAAACAGTGTTCTGAACCTTCATTACTGCTCTCTGGAAGTGGGTTAGAGCAGCGGGCGGGTGTCTGGTGCTGAGTGCTAAGGGTCCACAGCGCAGGGACACAGTGTCCTTGTCTCCCCTCTTCTATTTTCATGAAGAGTGGCTCTAGTGACCCACACAACCCCGTCTCCATCTGTGGGGCTTGTCCCTGGGGCCGTGCATACATGGCCGGTGTCAGGGGATCTTAGACACAGCACGGGGCTGTTTGGACAGGGAAGCCCCAGACTGAGGCAGAATGAGAACATGAAGCTACACGGACCAAATAGACCCCAGGCTCAGTGGTGCGTCTCTGCTGTCTGCCCTCATGGCCTGGGGAGGGTCCCCGTGCTGATTTGAGATGGGATGTGGGCTGTGGGGCATGCATTCAGGTCCCCATCAGCTGAACCTACAGGACCCAGTGTCCGCGCCCAGGAGGGTGGTCCAGTGGAGGCGTGGCAGACACACACAGACAGGGGATGATCTCGGGCCCCTGCCTCCTGTCCCTACCCCAGAGGTGCCTGTAGGGACTATGGAACACATTCTGGGATGTCAGGCTGCTGATGTCTGGTCCCTGAACCACAGAACCACCCTGCTACCCACTGCAAAGGTCAGGGTGTCTCCCTGCAGCAAGCAGCTCCATCCGGGCCGCTCTCAGGAAGACCACCCTCTGATGGGGGCAACACAGACGGGACACCTCGGGGACAGGAGGCCTGAGTGGTACCTGCTGGAAGCAGCAGGACTCTGCTCTGCCAGGAGAGAAGCGGGGGCTCCGGAGTGTGCCCTCATCCTGGGAGAAAAGCAGACCCCTACTCGGCACCTATCTATACATTGTAGCTCTTTCCACCCTCAAGCCAGAAACACAGGTGTTCTCAGCAGTTATCCTGGGCAGGTCCGAGGCAGCTGAGACTGGGCACACTCAGAGCCTTCCAATGCAGATGGTGCCCAGCAACTGGGTGAGTACTAACTCAGAAAACCAGAAAACCATGGTTCTACCGCCTCTTTTCCAGGGAAAAACCAATCCCTGATTACTAAATGTTAGCCAAAGTCAGAACTAGCTTGTGAAGCGAGGGAAGTCAGATTTCTCAGGTTGGAAGACACTCAAAATGCGACTGGGGAAGAGCTGCCTCCTCAAAGTAGAGTTGACCGTGATGATGCGAATGGAGTAAAGCCTGTGGGGGTAAAGCCCTCGGGACCTTCATTTGTTGATGGGGCACAACTCAAAATGAAGAAAAACAGCTGTAAACATTCATTAATAATTGGAACATGGAATGTACAAAGTATGAATCTAGGAAAATTAGAAATTGTCAAAAATGAAATGGAATGCATGAACATCAATATCTTAGGCATTAGTGAGCTGAAATGGACTGGTATTGGCCATTTAGATCTGTGTTGGAAGAAGTGCAGCCAGAGTTCTCCTTGGAGGCCAGATGGCCAAACTTCATCTCTTATACTTTGGCCATATTGTCAGGAGGGACCAGTCGCTGGGAAGAATATCATGTTTGGTAAGGTGGAGGGTCAGAGGAAAGAGGAAGACCCTCAGCAAGATGGATGGCCAAGTTGCAGCATCAATGGGCTCAGGCGTGGCAATGATAGTGAGGTTGGCTCAGGATCGGGCAGTGTTTCATTCTGCTGTGCGTAATAAGGTCGCTGAGTTGGTCCCAATTTGATGGCATCTAACAACAAGCCATATTATTGGACTTTTAATAGCTGCATGTGCTTAGGGAGAGTGGGGTCCTATCCCCGTTTTCTGGTGGCTGTGTGAACAGGACCTCCTAAGATGTCAATTAGCGTGAGAAGTCTGAAGCTTGTTTCTATCAGTGCCTGCTTTTGGAGGGAGTCACAGTAACATGAAACATAAAATAATGCCCGAGCCCCATGCATTATAAAGTTGCGACACATACAAACCACTTGAGCTTCCCCACTGTGGCAGACACGAGCTCAGGAACCCTTGGTAACACGGCAGGTTCAGGGCACAGGTGAGTCGACGATGCCCCCATCTATCACAGGCTCTATGCTATCCACGCCTCATCCACTTTCGGATACAGTTAGTGACAAGGTTAAAGTGACGGAGATCATGAAGTGTTAGATTGTGGCGGCAGCTGATATTGGAAATCCCAGCTACATCACCAGCAACGTGTGCTAAGCCATCTGCATGTCAGGCATGGTGTGGGGACCCGGGGCCCTGCCCGCCCAGAGTCCTAGAGGCCTCAACAGCAGCGTGGAAGAGCTACTTCTGGGGAGTGTGTGTGTGTGTGTGTGTGTGTGTGTGTGTGTGTGTGTGGTTACATTTCCCCCACCTGCGTTCCAGACCAGGGAGACCCAGGAAAGAGGTTGGGTGGGGCACCATTGCAACCAGACCCATGTCCAAAGAGCTGTGTACACTTCCAAAGCATTTTAGCGCAGGGCTCTTCCCCTTTTAATCCACAGACCTCAGCCAGGGGCTGGTCTTGTGTTGGCTTTTCTGTTGTGTGCTGGCCAATCCATTCCAACTCAGGACAACCCACGGGGCACCCAGGCCTTCCTCCCATGGAGCTGCTGGGCAGATTCAAACTGGCAACTTTGTGTTCGCAGCCCAGCACTTAACTGCTGTGCCACCAAGTTTTCCAGCAGTTGGAAAGGAAGGTGCACATTCATCCCACTAAGTGCTCGTCTGAGACGCCAGGTGTGGGGTCCTGAGAGGAACGGGTGAGAGACGGTGGGATAGGCTGAGTGGGATCTAGGCTGGGCACTCTGCTGTGGCCACAAGTCCTTCCAGGATTGCCCCTCACCCCTCACCAACGGATACTGCCCGGTCTCATCCACCAAGATATGTAGAACCAAAAGAGGGCACACAGCTACCATCAAGACACAGACTTTAATGCAGTGCCCACCACCCTCCTGCCCACACAGTGCCCACGCAACCCTTCAGCCCCGCTGCACATGCTCCACGTCGGCCAGCATCTCCTGGCATCTGGTGCCTAGCTCTGGCTGCATCCCCCCCAGCTTGGCCCCCACGGGACCACCCTCGTGGGCCAGCAGCCACTGCTTCACGGTCAGCCCTCCGGAGTAGCCGCCCATGGTGCCGCTACTGCTGATGACACGGTGACACGGGATGAGGATGGGGATCTGAAAGATACAGAGGAGGTCACTGTCAACCTGGGCTTGGGGACCCGGGCAACCTGCCTTCCTGTCTCCAGTACCCCTGCACGTGTTCTGCTGCTCAGGCTTGGTGAGTCTCCAATAGAAGCTCAGCGCACATGCCTGGAGCAGTGCCACCCTCAGAATCCACCTGCCTGGTGCCCACCCCTACCCTTGACTGGGAACCAACACTGGGTGATGGAGACCACTGTGCTCCCTGGAGCACTTCCTGCCCTAACCCTCACCCTCAATCAATGCTCCCAGAGGAACTCACCTCCTCATTCATGCTCACACCCTCACCTCGTGCTCCTCCAGCACCCAGAGGCCAGGCACTGTAACTCTCACACTACCCCAGCATTCCCTAAGCTCACACAGCTACCAAAGGTCACACCATTCACCTGAGATGGTAGAAATGTAACTTCCCTCAGTTCACCAGCTAGTTCTGACTTTGACTAAAATTTAGGGTTACCACAAAAATGTGTGGAGATGTAGTCAGAGAGAGTTGCAATAAGTATCAGTGTGATAATGGTGATGATGATGGAGATAATGATGGTTATAACATTGATGATACTGATGTTGGTGGTAATAGTGATGGTGATGCTGCTGACGGTGATAATGATGGTGATGCTGGTGATGCTGGTAATGGTGATAATGATGCTGATGGTGATGATGTTGATGGTGGTGATAATGATGCAGATGGTGTATCGTGATTATGGAGATGTTAGTGTTGGTGATAATGATGATATTGATGGTGGTGATGCTGATGATGTTGGTAGTGGTAATAATGCTGCTGCTGTTGATGGGGGTAATAATGTTGATGGTCATGATAGTGATCGTGATGATGTTGATAATGATGGTGAGGATGCTGATGGTGGTGATAATGATGTTGATGGTGGTGATATTGATAATGTTGATGGTGGTGATAGTGATGGTGATGGTGGTGGTAATGATGCTGATGGTGGTGATATTGATAATGCTGATGGTGGTGATAGTGATGGTGATGAGGGTGATGATATTGGTGGTGGTGATAATAATGCTGAGGGTGGTGATAGTGATGGTGATGATGTTGATGGTGATAATGATGATGTTGATGGTGGTGGTAAGGGTACTGATGATTATGATGGTGTTGATGGTGGTGATAGTGATGGTGATGAGGGTGATGGTGATAATGATGATGTTGATGGTGGTGGTAAGGGTGCTGATGGTGGTGATATTGATAATGCTGATGGTGGTGATAGTGATGATGATGAGGGTGATGGTGATAATGATGATGTTGATGGTGGTGGTAAGGGTGCTGATGATTATGATGGTGCTGATGGTGGTGATAGTGATGGTGATGAGGGTGATGGTGATAATGATGATGTTGATGGTGGTGATAGTGACGGTGATGATGTTGATGGTGATAATGATGATGTTGATGGTGGTGGTAATGGTGCTGATGGTGATGTTGAGAGTGGTGATTGTGGGAAGGATGACAGAGAATTGACTTTTACTTTTCACTGTGGAGTTTCACAGACTGAAAAGTAATAATATTAACAAATCCTACAAATAGCATAATACTACAATTATCTTAGGAGGAGTAACTTAAAATTTTAAGAATGAAATATTTACTCTGGTGATTGTTACAAAATACAGTAACAACCCCACCCTACTGCTATCAAGCCAATTCCCTTAAATAACTGTTGTGAGGACATTATTAGATAACATGCAATAGATGCCTTTGATGGATAAAGAGGTAGACATTTAATTCAACGGTTTTACATTTAGGCCAATTCAAGTTTCCTATGTAGCAATCGATTTCATAACCGTTCTATGATTTTCATCCTTCCCTCCCCAAAAGCAGTGAAATTTTAAGACCGAGCAAGATGAATGTATCTATCATCTCTACTCACTCCGTGTGGTTCCGACTCATAATGACCCCATATAGGGTTTCTGAGGCTGTAAATCTTTACAGGAGCAGAAAGCCTCATCATTCTCCTGGGGAACAGCTTAAACTGCTGACCTTATGGTTTGCATTCAAGCGCTAATCCTACAGAGCCACAGTGTTCTTGTGTATTGTCATTGTTGTTAGGTGCCATCGAGTTGGATCCAACTCACAGTGACTTTATGTACAACAGAACAAAACACTGCTGGCCTGGTGCCACCCTCACGGCCATTGTCTCACTTGAGCCCATCGCAGTTGACACTGTGCCAATTCATCTCATCGGGGGTCTTCCTCTTTTTCACTGACCCTCCACTTTACCAAGCATGATGTCCTTCTCCTGGAAATGGTCCCTCTTGATAACATGTCTGAAGTGTGAGAGATAAAGTTTCACCATCCTGGCTTCTAAGGAGCATTCTGGCTGTATTAATTTGTTCTTCTGGCAGTCCGTGGCACTTTCAAACTTCTCCTCCAACACCATAACTCATGCATCAGTTCTTCTATGGTCTTCCTTATTCACTGTCCAATTTTCACATACATATGAGGTGACTGAAAATACCATGGCTTGGATCAGGCATACTTTAGTCCTCAGACTGACATCTTTGCTTTTTGATACTTTATATATTTACCTTTGCATGTGCTCCTAGCTCGTTACTGTGGGAATGTGAATATCACAGCTTTTTCACCCTTTAAAGAAGTCTCTTGCCAATTCAGTATGCTGATTGATCTCTTGATGGTTGTTTTGATGGGCGTTGATTGTGGATCTAAGTAAAATGAAATCTTTGACAACTTCAGTCTTTTCTCCATTTACCACAATATCGCGTAGTGGTCCAGTTGTGAGGATATATATATATATATATATATATATTTATGGTGAGGTGTAATCCATACTGAAGGCTGTAGTCTTTGATCTTCATCAGTAAGTGCTTCAAGTCCTCTTCTCTTTCAGCAAGCAAGGTTCCCGCATCTCCATAGGGGGCTTAAAGTGCTGAATGAGTCTTCCTCCAAACCCTGAAGCTGCATTCTGCTTCATATAGCCAGATTCTCAGATTATGTATCTCTCTCTGTCTCCCTCCTTTCCTATCCATCCAACCATCCATATGCACACAGACAGACAGACCTACGTGAGAAAGCTTCAAAAAGTTTGTGGAGAAATTACATGATCTTCTCATTCCATTTTTCCATGAGCTCTTTGAAGGCCCCTTGTGTGCATGTTTACGTACTTCTTCGTGATCAATGCAGACAATAGGATTGATGGTACTGGATGGCAGTTACTAAGTCAGCTCCAACCATCTCCGGTCCTCACTGAACGTATGCAGTGGTGGACAAGGCATGGTTCTCACCAAGCTTGCACGGTGTTCACCATGAGAAATGGGGACCACTGCTTATACTTGTGTGGATTTCCTTGGCTGGGTTCAGATTATTAAAATCATGAACCTGCTGGAATTTACTGGGGGCTTCAGGGCATTTCCAGAGGAGGGGTACCCCCTGTGCCCTCCTTGGTGAAACCAGAGTTGCATAAAGTGCAATTTTTATCAATCGCTGGGAAGTTCATCATTATCACAGCTGCGCCGGAACCTTCCCACTGTGAAATCTAATTCGCCCGATACGTGCATCTATCGCTCACTCTGGCCCTTTCTCAAATGCTATAAAACTTCCAAACCCATAGATTTGTCTCTAACAAAAAAAAAACCATGAAGGGGCCTTTCAATCAATATTGGAGCCCTTCTGATCCTCGTACCAGCGGAATATTTTTTCCAGCTCCGCCTTTGTTCTTCTGGGTAGCAGCCCACAAGGGAAAGAGCTTGTTCTCACTCACAGCCTCATCAATACCTAAATCCTAGTGAACAAGTGACACTGAGAAGCTGTAATCAATAGCTCCCTGTGCGTTTTTTTCTTCTGGTCAAATGGTTCAGCAGCACTGACAGGCTGCCACTTAGAACATGATACTAAATCTTTATCAACAGCCATCCTGGTGACTGACGGGGCGGGACTTGGGGGTCATTAGCGCTCATGGTGATCTGTGAATAAACTAACTCCTCAGGAATGCGTTTGTTTAGAAAAAGGTGGGGAAATGCTCACACAAACTATTGATTGCGTCTGCACTGCATTTAGTGAATTCTGTGTGAGGACAGAGTCCGGGAAGGCTGGGGAAGGCTGGAGGGAGCTGTCGTCTGCTATCTGAGAGGTGGACTGTGTTCTCCAGCCCGGTGGTAGGAATGAGCCGTCCTCAGCCTCCACCCCAGCAGTTCATGTGAACTATCCGCTCCTTCTTTTTTCAAATGAGTTCTTTCCTTCTTTTAAATTTCATTATTGATTCAAAGGCATCCCTGTATGGAGCACACGGGTAAACACTCAATTATTACTAATAGAAAGATTGGCAATTTGAACCCACTTGGGCATGCCATGGAAGACTGGTCTGGCGATTTGCTTCTAAAAAACCAACTGCTACAAACACTACCAGCCGATGCACGGCTTTGGCAAATCTGCACAGGACTTCTCAGAAGGGTGATAGAGGTGTTCTACTCTGACACACATGGCGGATGGCTTTATTTTTATTTGTTTTTCTTGAAATCTACTTGATTTCATCTTCATTTGGAAGTTCTGTAACTACATTATTTCCTATGTTTACTTTATTTTTTGTTTCTTTGCTAGTTCTCTATTTCCAGCCTTGTAGGTTTGGAGTCTAGGTGTGGCGGTGCGGGCTAATGCGCTGGACCGCAAAGTCGGTTTGAAACATAAGATCAGCAGTTCAAGCTCACCATTCGTTCCTCAGAAACCCTATACAGGATTGCAGTGGGTCGGAGCCAACTCAACCGTACTTAACAACAATAATAGGTCTGTTTTACTTTGAATATTTCTGTATCTGGGTTGGACTCCTGGTTGTGGCTCTGTAAGGTCTGCACTAGACTGTGAACCACACAGTTGGCAGTTCAAACTCACCAGCTGGTACTTGGAAACCCTATATAGGGTCTTATGAGTTGGAACTGACTCAGCGGCATTTAACTTCAACATATGTGAGTTCTGGGCGGTGATGTTATGGATGTTAGTCTCAGGCTATTGTGTGCTGCCTTTGGTTCCGTGTCTAAAGAGCTCCTTTTAGTATTTTTTTGCAAGGTTTGGCAGCTTTTTATAAGTTCTTTTAATTTCTGCTTATCAGAAAACGACCTAATTTTGCCATCATATTTGATGGACAATTTGCTGGGTATATGACTTTTGGTTGGAAATTTTTTTTTCTTTCAGGGTTTTATATATGTCATTTCATTGTCTTCTTGCCAGCCTGGTTTCTGTGGAGAAATCAGACTCTTATTAGTTCTCCTTTGTAGGTAAATTTTTGTTTTTCCTGAGCTGTTCTCAGGATTCTTTCCTTATCTTTGGTTTTGAAAAGTTTGATTATAAAATGTTTTGGTGATTCTCTTAGGGGGTCTATTCTGTTTGGAGTTTGTTCAACTTCTTGTCTTTCATGATGTTAGGGAAGTTTTCTTCCAACAACTCTTGGACAATATTCTCCATGTTTTCTTGTCTCTTCCAAAGAGCCTGCCCACCTGGCCCCTGTTGGCCCTCCACTGTATGCCCATGCAGCTGTGTGCAGAGCAGACCGAGCTGCCTCTCAGCTCTGCCCTGGGGTAGCAGAACCCAATCGAGTGGCAGATACCACAGCTGGATATGAGGCAGGAAAACACATGGTGAAGTCATGGTCACTGCAGAGTGGGGTCAATGCCACTTTGAGTCGGGGTGACCAGTATCACCTTCTGATGGAATGCACACTTCTGCCCCATTACAAACTCAGGTGTGCTTTTGGGAGACGCCTTCCACAGGAGGCAGGTCCCTGCCTGATGGTGGTGGGCCGTCCAGCAGAGGCCAGGCTGGCGAACGCTTTGGTAGGTGCACCCTGCTGCCTGTCTGGTCCAGGGCATGGAGGCCACGTCTCACCTTCTGTGCTACCTTTGTGGGCCAGTGCACAGCTCCTTCTGCACCTGGGGCCCTGGGGTGCAGTTCGCAGTGCACTTCACAACCTGTTCATTAAACACGGTGGGCAGGATGGGGTCAAACTGTTTTACGTTCCTAGGTTGCTTTCTTTTCTTTCCTTCAGGATAAAAATGTCCCCTTAGAAGGCACTGGCCTGACCCTATGCACGTTCCTGCTGATGTGGTCTCCTCAGCCCAAGACCCCAATCACAAGAGCAGAATGAGACCCCTGGAGGGGGGCAGGGGTTGATCTGCACCCCCACGGCAGCCTTCTAGAATGTGTGCATTTGTTCGCATGAGGCTCTGACATTAATACAGTCCAGAAAGCCCTCTGCTGTATCAATCAATGAATGCATGCAGCTCCCTGGGTTTCTGCCCCCTTGTGCTCATGATGGTCACAAGATGGTCAGCAACGCCTACGTGGAGTGGACACCTCCTCACTGACTTTACCCAATAGGAAGTGGATACTCAGCCTGACTGCCTCCCTTCCCCTGACTCACTGCAGCCCAGGCTGCTTGGACAGGGGTCTTATCAGACAACAGTGTGCCCCCCATGACTACAGCATATACTCCCCCAAGGGCCCACACAGCCCCCCACAACAACCTCAACACCCCCAGGGCCATGCAGCCCCTACGACCACACCCTCAACACTCCAGCACCCATACAGCCCTCCAAGACCCAGCCCGGGAATCCACTGCCCAGAACTCACAGGGTTGTTCCTCATGGCTCCACCCACTGCCCGGGACTCACAGGGCTGCTCCTCATGGCTCCACCCACTGCCCGGGACTCACAGGG